GAGAGGGACATCATGCTTGGGAGGGTGGAAGGACGGTGCAAGAGGGGAAGACCCTCTATGAGATGGATTGATTCAGTGACTGGGGTAATCGGGATGGGTATGTCAGAGGCAGTGTGATTGGCACAGGATAGAGCAGGGTTTAGGGCTGTTGTGCATAGGGTCGCTATGAGTCGCAAACGACTCGACGGCACATAACAACATCAACAACTTTTGGTCTGGTAGCGTATCTCTTTACCCAAGAGGCCACTAGAATTTCCTAAATATTTCTAGTCAAATAAGTCCGGGATCTTCCCATTTTCCTGGGTTAGTCTCAACATAAAGTCAATAAGCTCAGAGCTCTGAGAAGCTGTGTGAAACTTAGACAAGCACAAACAAACAAAAAAACCCAACAACCCCAAAACATGCTACAATCCCCTTTAAAAATACTTTAAAATCCCAGCTGTCATTGATTTGGTTTCAGCTTATGGTGACCCAGTATAGATGTCAGAATAGAACTGTGCTTTGTAGGGCTTTTTCAATGGGAAAATCTGAAGTGGACAGCCAAGTCTTTCTTTTGAGACATGTGAGATGTCTCTGAATGAATCTGAGTCACCAACGTTTCAGTTAACGCTCAGTTGTTGATGGTACCCAGGGATTAAAAAAACCCACAACACAACTTTATGAAATCTGTTAAATACGATGCTTCCAAATGAGAATCTCCAGTCCTCCCCTCCCTGCTCCCTTGCAACCAATAAACTGTGGAACTATAATACTAATACTAATACTAATAATAACAATAATAATAATAATAATAATGATACACACATCTAAAATGGGAAAAAAGTAAGTAATATGTAAGCAAATGTGACATTTCATGGTTATGATTAGAGGTATTCTTACCCAGGTCCAATATGATGTCTCCAATCCAGCTTTCAAACACACAGTTATCACCACAAACTAAAAGAGAAGGAAAAAAAATGTTATTATATTTAATAAATACAGTAATTGATCAGATGAGTAGAAAGGAGAGCTGTACAGTGGTATCTTTGAATCAGACTGTGGGGTTAGTACATATCTGTAACTTGCATTATAAGTTCAACAAGAAAACATGTGAATTAACTCAGTGGCTAAACATAATGACAAAGAGTCAGAAATGCTTGCATCTCACTCCTATTGCCCTTCCCTGCTTCTCTTTACCTCACAGCCTGAAGTCCAGACATGAAGCTCTTGGTATGTGTTTCTCTGCACTTTGAATAATCCAAGAACAGCAGTGAAGAGAGTATGCTTACATTTACACAAACATTTTTATTTTATGTCACTCTTATGGAGATTAAAGTCTAATTAATTAACATTTAAATAAAATTATGAAAGTGAAATAACTAAAGACTAAGACTAAATATAAACTTTTACTCTGCAAGCTTAAAAACTCTGCAGAGTAGGATATAACAGAATCGATGCTTCTGAGTTGTGTTGTTAAGAGTACTAATTATCCCCCGGACTGCCAAAAGAACAAACAGAATGACCTAGAAGGGGTGCACCCAGGGTGCTCCTTAGATGCAAGGATGGTGAAGTTTTGTCTCACATATTTTGGGTATGTTGTTTGGAGGGGACAGTCTTTGGAAAAGGATCATGATTGGAAAGGTGGAGGGTCAGCAAAAGAGAGAAAGACCCTCAATGAGATGGACTGACACAGTAAGTGGAGCAATGGATTCAAGTATATCTGAAATGATGAGGATAGAACGGGATAGGACAGGGTTCAAATCTACTGTTCATACGACTCTCTGAGTCACAGATAACTTGCCAGCACCTACCAATAACAATTACTCCCTCAATGATGTTCATGCCCACTGATAAGTGACTATGATGTCAATGCTGGAACGTGGAACCCAGGGTAAATCTGTGTTTACTATTGTGTAACAGCATAAGAAAATGCACACATTCTGCACCAGACCTTCTACTCTCAAGACACCACCACTTATTAGCCAGGCAAGTTGCTTCACCTCTCCATGTCTCTCTCTATTTGTAAACTGGGACTTAATAAATAAAACACACAGAGTTTGTTTGTAATGTAAAATATTAAACATGAAACATTCAGAGTAGTGGTCAGCACTATTAATAATAATAGTAATAGTTATTATTATTATGCACATTTAATAACAATAACATTGAAAACCTGATGCTAGCCAAGTGATCTGGACTTCTTTCTGTCATTTGTGGTGATGAGTGTGTGACACAGGTAATCGAGAAATGCTTGGAGTGCCCTGTCATACTTCCAGGCCCCATACAGGCTTCCACATAGGATCTGTATTTGCATTATGACCCAGTGGGATTGTTAAATTCAGTTAAAGTGAGACAGTTAGGCCTTCTCAGCAGGATACAAACGGCAATTTAGGATTAATGCTCATGGAAACAAAACTCTTATTAAAATGAACTCTTAATTAAGTCAAGCTATATAAAAAGTTTGAAAATTAGAGACAGAGTTTAAAATAAATGAAATAAAAACACCCTTCTGGGACATAGGGTTGTTTTTTTTTTTTTAAATCCCTGGGTGGACATGAACAACATCGGGTACTTTTAAGTATCAATAGGAAACATCCATGATGTATTTTGTTGATGATGCTGGGTGCTGTTCAGTTGCTTTTGACTCACAGGAACTCTATGCGACCGAGGAGAACTGCCCCATTGGGTATTTACTGGCTGAAATATTTATGGGAGTAGATCACTGGAGCTTTATCCCAAGGAGGTGAGTGGGCTCAAACTGTCAATCTTTTGGGAAGCCTTCAAAAGCTTAAGGATTCTAACTACGAGGGCTCCTTCCATGACATATATTCTGATACACTTCTAACTTACTCCAACAAGTATGTGTATAATTCTGAATGTACAATAATGTTGGGTTAAGGTCAAACAACCACTTTTGCTTCTCTCTTAACTACTTCAGGGGCGTAGTATCAAAACTTAGAATCCCTTGGTTCCTTGCAGACCTTCACTTCCTATCACTCAGTTATTGACCAACTTGATAGCTCAAGACAATTTAGCAGTTTTCCTACCCACTGAGCCAGTCAGTCATAGGGAGAGCTCATTAGAATTTAGAACAGTAAGTATGCTGCCTTCCATACAGAGGAAGCTTTGTCAGGAGTGGGTGCTGGAGAACAGAGGAAGGCCACTGGGCAGACGAGGAATTCAGAGTTGAAGGTTGGAGGACACTTTCATCAGATACTAATTATGTGACCTTGGGTATTAACATTCAAGTAATGCTTTTGACTTTTAAGTTGAGGATGGTTTTAAAACCTTTTTCCACTCTTTATTGAGGGATGCCCTGTCACAGGATACTGGACACAGGATACTGACTCTCAGAGGGGCTCCCATGCCTGGCAAGGCATAACAGTCTCAGTGTCTGCAGATATTACTCCTATTTTAATTATCCTGACACTTTAAAACAATTATTAGTGAATACTATTTGCTATGAATTCTGGAAAGCAAGAAAGCATTAGTAGTTGGGGGGGGGAGGGCAACATAAATTGAGGAAATAGGGATGAGAAGAAAAAGCCAAATCAGGGGACAAGAAGAGATATGTGGAGATAGTGAAAATAACTGCAACCAAGATCCCATCATATCAGGAAATCTAAATGAGATTGTAAAAACCAGTAGGGATCTGAAAACACAGAGCAATAGTGGACATCAATCAGCAGTGATTAATTTTATAAGATATACAATGCATGGGAATGCATTATGAAACACATTATGAATGCATGTATGAAACAAAATGTGAATGGGAGAAAAGTTAAAAAAGAAAGGAACTCCCCCCCCCCAAATCTTAATGTAAAGGAATCATTAAAAGTCAAAACAGCTTATTTCTTCTTTAAGGGAAAGCATAAATAACCCTTCAATATAGAGATGGACATATGTAAATTTGAGCGTGGGGAGGGGGGGGTGAATCCACTTTACATGCAAACAAGGCAAATGTCAATGCTCACAGTGTAAACAAAGTTACCCAGCAGCAGATAATCCGAGGTTTTCCCATTTCCAAATACATTACCTGTGTGAAAAGAAGAGAGGCATGTTAAAGAGGAAAACGAATGATGCTTTTCTAGAATTCTTTCTAAGAGAAACGAGAAAGTATTGCAAAAGAGAAAGGAAACCAACTCCACACAGTGGAGTCAGAAATGAGGCTTTAAATTTCATCTGCCATCATTTCTATAAAGATGGTCTTAAACTCTGAAGCAAAAAATTGGAGACAATTTTTTTACTAACTGAGGAATGGAAGAAGAAACTATGGCATTATCTGTAAGCTAGAAAACTGACGTCTAGTTGGGTCTGCCTCAGAGCTGACCTTCCAAAGGATTTCCGGTCACTATAAATCACAGCAGAAAAGACTGCTCTTTTTTCTCCTCTACGTGGATCCAAACTCTGGGTTGAAGAAGACAATTCCCTCTCCACTGGGCCACCAGCGCTCCATAACAATGGTTAATGGTTCAGCTGGAAAGAATCATCAGAATAGGCAAACCCTATTTCCAGGGTGTAAAGGTTGGCTATCATCAGGAGGGGCTGTGTGGCTCCATCCTGGGGTCCTGAAAAGGTTCTGGAACCATCTGTGGTGGCTGTTGTACAATTCTGTGAAAATACTAAAACTACTGCATTGCACACTTTAAAAAAAAGGTGAACCTTATGGTTTGTGAATTATTTCTAAAACCCAAACCAAATGAACAAATTAAATCCAAAAACTCTGTTGCTTTTCTCCTGGCTCGATTTTCTAGACTTGAATTAGACGTTCTCATCACAGTCTCATGACCTAGAAGGGAGTTTGGTGGCCTAGCAGGTAAGAAGTTGTGCTGTCAACCCAAAGACAGGCAGTTCAAATCTACCAGCTGCTTTGTGGAAAAAAGAGGGGGCATCTCTTCTGTGATTTGTCTCTGAAAACCCACTGATCAGCTGAGTTGGTTCTGACTGGATGGCACATGGCAGCAGTATGGTCTAGAAACTGAGACACATTTACTACCGTGCTGGTAGAGCAGTGAATAAAAATATGGGATTACTACTGTCATAACAATAATATCTAATCATGTCAGTCCTCCAGAACGAAAGTAGCATAGTGGAGCAGACTTGGGTGGAGGGATTGAATAACAATGAAAAGAATTTTTCTTTTACTCTCCAACAAGAAAAACGAATTGGAGAGGTGGGGTGGGCAGGGAGAAAAGTGCAACAATGAATGAATGGAAATGCTAAGTTTCTGTAAATTTTCATGAAAATCAATTTAAAATAAAAGAGATATGAGATTAAAGTTTTATGATGGAATCTCATGGTCAAGGGCTTAATTGCTAACCAAAAGGCTGGCTGGCAGAGTCTATCAGCTGCCAAGAGTACTGAGAGGATGAGGCAGTCTGACTTCAGGAGGATTTACAGCTCTGGAGACTCTGTGAGGAAGTCCTTTTATAGAATCGCTTCACAGGTTGGAATCAACACCACACTAGTGGGTTAGGTTTTTCCCATCTAGGATGTGAAATCATCCAGTGCTGAGAATACAGCATGAACTAGCAATTCCCTGCCCTCTTGGAGCTTAGATTCTAACAGAGAAGAAAGATAGTTAGGAAACAGAAAGATTGAAGAAAATGCAGGATGGCAATGGGATAGTATGTGGGGAGCGGGAGAGGCGGGAGAGGCAGGCAAGGTGAGTGAAGGTCTCTCTGGGCAGAGCTTTCAGGGATGTGAGGGAAAGAGCTTCTTGAGATCTGAGAGAAGGAGGGGGCAGCAAGGAGGCCAGTAGTGGGGCTCTGTGAGGGGAAAAGCAGAAGAAAACCAAGTTTAGAAGAGGGTCAGGGTCAGGGCTGTGGATTCTGTTTGGAACACACTAAGTAAATGCCTTTTTGAGTTTGTGAGGAGGGAGGGCACTTGGTGTGATTTACACTTTACAAAGGTCACTGAGGTTATCTGGGAAAGAGAGACTGTTGGTGGGCAAGAGCCACTGTGGTCTCTTTAGTTGGTAACCATTCACTCAGAGACAGTAGGGTACAACCTGTACGGATTGTACTCATATTCACTCACAGAAGAATACTACCTGCAGTTACATTCACTCAGAGACAGGGAAATATGGCCTAAGTGGCATCCACTTCCTAAATAACATGGCTCCAGAAACCCTATGAACTTCGATAAATGTTGATAATTGTAGACGGGCTTAAAGTCTTTTGCTTTGAGTCAGTTGTGCTTGACTCGAAGGCAATCAACAACAACAACAACATGGACATTTACTCAAATATTGAGATATGACCTGTATAGACATTTACTAAGAGACAATAAAGTATAGTCTGCTTGGACGTGTATTCAAAGACAGTGAGGTTCAGCTTATTTGTACATTCACTTAAGGGACAGCAGGATGTGGCTTGAACTTCTATCCTTGCAGCGACAGAAGGGTACTGTCTATATTACATGCTCTGGACTTACATTCTCTCAGAGACACTAGGGTAGGGCCTGTACTTATAAAGGACTGACACATCCTTGGGTAGAGTGTGTGCTGTGTTTTCAATCATTGTCACTTTGGGGCAGACACACAGAATGGCTGTCTGTCTTCCTGCAATCTGTAGGTGAGGTCTGCTCCAGGCCACGGCAGCATCCACTCATCCATCACCAAGCTCTCGTTTCTACAGTGGCTACTTCATCATTTTTATGGATATAGGAAATACACCATGATACTATCGCTCAAAACCGACAGAATAAAATCGTTCTCTCAAAATGAATACAGAAAATGCTTACACTCTAAGATAAATTAAAAAGAAAACAAAACACACAAAACAAAACAAAACCCACGTTAAAATCCCTTCAAACATCAGCTCAAGTATACTTGAAAATACTAGCATGCCTGATTAGGCTCCATATAAAGAACTTGATACAAGTCTCAAAGGTGTAATAAAACAGACTCCATAAAATATTAGCACTTATTGTCTTCAACCTATACATCAACAGGGGGGAAAAGGAGCCTAAAATCAATTCTCTGCAAGTTTGGAAAACATGAGACGCAAAGAAGGAAAGCTTTGCATATATTAAATCACTGTGCTCCTAAAGGAATAATAAAAATTTTTAATGTGTGTACAGTGTGGGGACGCATGCGCTGTAGCTTAAGGAAAAGACCATAAAACAAAAGCACTGCTCTGCTTTCGAACATATATTGACAATGAGTTATTTTTTGAAAAAGTAAAAAATCATCTCTTAGCATTCATATCCTTTCTACTTACCATACTGAAGGGCTTTTAGTGGAAACCAAAACAGAATAACTGAGTGGAAGAGGCCATTTAAACAATGAACCCAGAAAACCTGAGGGAAAACAAAATCCATGAGAACCGTTGGCGATAAACTAGCTCTGTGAACCCTGACCTTCCTTTTTATCAGCGAGCAAGATTCACAAAACGTGTTTCTGTCGGGCCACCACTGTGAATTAATAGAACTGACAGACACTTTCTGCCTCTTAGACCTTCATGGGTCATTTATTTATTTTTATATTTCTCAAAATGTTGGTTTTTTTTTTCAGCTCCACTTTAATTTTTTTTTCTTGGCCTTTTTTTTTTTTAAAGGCCAAGCCTCAAAAGTTTAAATTTTTGCCTGAAAAAGAAAACAAAATTGAAAAGAAATGATATTCATTAAATGCCTTAATGGGGCTATTTTCATAATTCTAGAAGGATAGACTTTTGAGAAAGTTGTACTTTGGGGAAGACCTTTCTGTTTCCATGTGCAATAAAAATCTAACCTTTCAGCGTTAAGAAAAGAATGAATAATCTTCTCTCTCTACATTCATATACATGCTGTATAACAAAATGTCTAGCACAACATTTAAATTGCATAATTCCTTAAAGCAAAACACTGTGTCTGTGACTGTATTTACAGAAGGCTTTCGCAAATTTGTAGCACCTGTCAATATCAAGCTTCATATAATTATTACATCTTTTAGCAACAGTAACTTTCTCATATCAATGGTAATTTAAGAACAAGAGAGCAGATCAGTACTTCCTTTGTAATGTGGATGTGGAAGATTAAGTTATAGAAAAACTGTTTAAAATTCTTATGTCCCTCTGAACAGTTGTAATTTTTGTCATTTGAAAGTGCTTCTTGCAAACAAAACTTAGGCTAAATAGAATTGGCATGTATTAATAGTTTTAAGCTGTTCAAACAACAGAAATTAAGTTGCCTGCCTCCCAAAATTTTCCACTGTGATCTTGATCTCCTTTGTTAGCTCACTCAGGCACATAGCATTGTATGATCCAATTTACGCTCCAATACATTACACATTTGAACTTGTGTTACTCATTAACCTTTGTCTCTTCTCCTCACTATGTCATTACCACACGTTTTTATTTGACAGAAAGCACAGGTGGGTGCAAGAAAAATTAGTTCTACTTTTCCATTTTCCTGACCGAACTTATTGTCACATGCTAATCCTTTAACCCCTGTAGTGACCTCAGAACCTCTGACCCTTTTTACCATAACAAACGTAAGCAGCATAATTCAGGGCAACAATGCTTCTCTCCTCTGGACCCACAGCAACTGCTGGGTATACAACCATGCATTTTGCAGGCACTTGTCCCTGAATTTTAAAACACTTACATGGGATTTAATCAAGGCAGTTTAAAAAAAAAAATAGAAAAAGTCTTCTAAAACATGGTTGGTAATTTGTGTAAATAAAGTACAAATATGACAAATATTCATACAGAAATGAGAACTGCATGATCTATTTTGATTGACCTGGTGATTTTTCAAAACACACACACTTTATTTTACACAGAGCAGAATGTCTTTTTAATAACAAAAGAATGACAAATGATACAAGGAATGATGCTTTTGCATGAAAACTATACTCCTTGTTAGACCCAACGCCAAGACACAGAACTGTGTCCAAGTTATCATGTGCAAAGCCAAGAAAGTAGGATGAAGAGTGTTGGGTAATCCTTTGAGCATCAGTTTATGTTCTTACGCTCAGCATTGTGATCTGAGGTTGAGAAGCAAGCTCCAGAGAGTGGTATTATGGGGATGGAGCTGAACTAGACGGTGGTCCCTGGTTGAGCTGATGTGACTGGCTAGGTGAGTGAGAATTATTAGTAGACCAGTAGATTCAGAACTTTCCTTTCCCTAGATTACTTTTTCAGGGCAATAAGAACTCATAGTCCAACATATCAGCTCTAATTGTGGCTTTCCACCAGAAACCTCCTATCATAGTTAATGAAAAACAATATAGCAATGCGGGAGAATTTTGTACAAACTGGCCAATAGATATTAATCCTCAAATAAAAATACCAGTAAGTAAAAACATAGACATTACATACAGCAATAGTAAAAGGCCCTATTATAAGTTTTACTTTTAAAAAACAAAATCAAATTATTTAAACTATTATTTGCAAGTTGTGTGGGCATGGGCACACACACACACACACACTCGTATCCACTTAGCATTATAAGTTATGGCACCAAACACCTGTTTCACTTTATTCTTTTAATATACTGAAAATGCATGGCATTGGGTAACTGTTATGGATTCACTGTTTTAAAATATCCTATATTAACTGTCCTACATTCAAACCACTGAATTCAAATTACACAGAAGTAACAGTAATATGTTAATTAATGCAAACAGCATTGAATGGGAAAAATTCTATGAAGATGTATGTATTCATTGCTTTTATAATACTTGTAATAATTAAAACCACAAATGCTATAGTAAAAAAAATGGCATCTATTTTCTTTTAAAGTTTTAAAAAATGGCATCTATTTTGATTCTTTTAAAGTTTTTTTATTCTTCCACACTAATTAGAAACTTGAACTATGAACACTTTTAAAGGTTAACTATGCAGCAGAGAGCATAAAGCTAGGCAGTGTTTCGTTGTTTCTACATAAGAAGTGCTATGAGCTAGAATCTACTTGATGACACCTAACAACACAATTGGAAGTGTGATGTTTTGTTGCTCGATGAAGCACAGATCATAAGTGATGTCCATATCCCATGCGCATTATTTAGGACAGAAAGTCAGAGGATGATTTTAGAGAAAATGAGAGGTGCTTTAATCTGTAATTTTATTTCCAAGTGCTGAGGACTGTGACTTTCTAAGCGGCTACCCAGAGACTATGTTTTTAATGAGTAACACAAACAATCCAAAATTCTAATGAGGAAAATGTTCCACAAAGCAGAAAACTGATAGCAATATAACACCTCTCACTAAGTGGCAAGGCAGCTCTTGTCAGTCCTGGATCACTCTTGAGAGGAGTAAGTACTTTTCAGAGACAGGACCAAAAGGATGACTACTAGTCTCAGCTTTCCTGCTGCCTTCCAAACCCAAGGCACTGTGGGTGCACATTAATTTTATAACAAACAAACTAAATATTCTCAGTACAACTTAGAACTGTAATCAAATATGACTTGAGGCTCTTTCAAGTTTGAGTCATCTTGGTTTTGGACCAAGCTGCCCACATTGATGAAAACAGTTAAAAAAGTAACTCTGAACATGCTTCGGTGTGCCTAGTCTCACCTTGGTGTTGAAGTCCAGGGCATTCTGGGTTGTTTTATATAATTCAGGGTACTTCAACATATTCTCTTTTCTGCACGACCTCTCAAATATTCCGAGAGTTAAGGGAGGCATTGCTGTAAACATCTAAAGGGCACAAACAGGTCATTATGTTAGGCAACCAGTGTGATGTTTACCTCAAAGTACTCAGTAATAGGAATATGCTGATGTTCTAAACTTACCACATTATAAAGGCCTATACACCACCTTTCAAAGAGGATCTGTCCAGAAAAGCCATTCACAAAGGCGAACCAGATCTACGAAGAAAGCAATCCCAAATTAGAAAATAAAAATATAAACACATTACTCTGGCCCTGCCATGTATCCAAGAATTGCCTAACAAGGTCATTAACATATTTTTTTTTAAAATTCATATTTATTTACAAAGTTAGTATACATTGTATTAACATATTTTAACAACTCCCTTGAAAATGAGATTTCTTGATCTTTTAATTTAAAAAGTTGCTTTTGCAAATATTTTTCTATTTAAGCCAGAATTTATTCTATTTGTTGAATTAAAAAAGAGAAAAACCAAACCAACCAATGACCTATATGTACATTTTTTAAAAGGAAATGCAGCCTGTTCTAACGGGCATTTTTTAAACTTTTCTTCTGAAAGACTGCTAAATTTGTAGAGCTTAATTTTCCTCTAAAGTATTTATTAGAAGATTATTATTTATCATAAAATATTTATCAAGAAAATGCAGAAAATAAAGGACTGATTTTCTATAATAATACAATTATGATTTTCCTCTACACTGACTGTATACCTGTAATTCATTTATATCAACTCTTACATTTATCTTACTGGAAACTACTTGTATGCAGCGCTAGAGCTTGCTCTGCTCTCCTCAGCATCACACAAAATGCATTTCTACAGCTGTTACATATTCTGTAAAATGATGTTAACAGATGTATAACTTCTGTAGTATGGATGTAATTATTTTTGGACAATTAGCTTGCTTCCAGTTTTTGCTATTATAAACAATTCCAAACTGAAAAATTCTTGGGCAGAAATCTTGCGTATCTCTATTTTCTTAGAGGAGTTTTTTAAGAGGGTCAATTTTTTAATGGGTCAAAGTTTATGCACCTCTTTATTAATTCTTAGCCACTGTCACTAGAATGTTACCTTTGCATGCAATGCACCCTTTTGCAAGCAAGTAAATCTTTAAATGCTTATCTACAGTTGCAATTCTCTTTAAAACCTTGACTTTGGAGAGCGTACAGAAAGTTATCACCAATATTTTTAAACCAAATGTAAAACGAAAGTCCAGTAAATCAGTAATGCTTATCTTTAGAAGACCTAAATTATACTTAAAAACCTGACTTATTAGAAAGAGTAAAAAAAGTTGGTCCAAGAATGCAATTACATAAACAAAAACACAAAACAACAACAACAAAGTGTAAAAGTAAAGCTGTCCCCAACATCCTGGTCAAGTGACTTTCTGAGTTGGAGTTACAGGTTCTTTGCTACACTTCACGTTTCATTTAATCTCATTATGGAAGCATGAATCGCTACAAATTCACCATTTATCAATATGTACCCCAGGCTGGCCTCTCTATGCAAAGGTTCTGTACCCGCACCCTCTTCTTCCTTTCTACAGTGTAAAAGACTGACTGAGCCTCTATGAAAATGAATGTCTGCTTCTTGAAATGGAAAAGAAAACAAAGTAGCAATGGTACATGAAAAAAATGCACTCAGATTGTGTTTGGTTTGTAACACACATCAACAATAACAATTCACAAAAGCATCTAAATTCAGAGTGAAATGGGAAATCCTTACTTGCTCTGTTACACATATTTGCAAAGGAGAAAAAGAAAAAAAAGTGAACATTTGTCCTAAGTACAGAGTAGGATCATTTGTGCATGCAAACTGAAGCATTTAGTGTGGCCAGTAAATATATTCCTTAGGTTGGCACTGCTGACTTTAAACTCCTTTTCAAGCCCAAGTATATATACAAGTTGACAAGGCAGACTTTAATGCTCTGTATGAAAATGCTTTCACATTTGGCTTTGCTGAGACGTGGATTATGTAAATACATATTTGTGATCCTCTGGGTAATGGTTAATGTTCTCCTTGAAGGCAACAGGAATCCTCTATAGTGATACTAAGAAATGCTTTCCTATTTCTTTGGGTATGATGGAAATGAGGCATTTTTAAGCACACACTTACAATGATAGCTTCTCTATAATCTGTCAAGATGCGGTCCACTCTTCACCGGTATGAAAAAAGCCATGATTTAAGAATACCAAATTTCAACTAAGGGATGCCATTTTTACCAAAGATTGGAGCTATTAACGCCTTTTCAAAACTGTATGTTATGTTTGTGTTAATTAATTTGTATGTGGGACAAATACTTGAAAATGAGAACGTTTCTTAATTTCTTTATATATCCATGCTGTGCTCATCCATAGGCTTGAAATTCAAGACCCTCCTTTCAAATCCATGAAGCCTTTTCTTCAAAATCAATTATTTTGGAAGAAGAAAGTTTCAAATTAAGAATAATTTGCAAACAAACATGTCTAAGCACAAAGTTTACTTTCTAGCATATATATTAAGTGCTTTATTGCAGAAATGAATAGAGTACATGACTATCAACACATATTTAGCTCTTTCCTTTTTATTTTCTCTCCTGGAGGGTGTGTGAACACATTTTCTGAAACTCTTTGCCGGTGTTGTCAAATGCAAATGTTGTCTTTTATTGAAAAGAGAAAAAAATAAGAGAGTTTTTAAAAAACTTTAAAGATGACTTACTGGTCAGAACAGAACCTCTCACTATAGTATTTTATACCTTCACACGAACATTTTGAAATTCAAGCACATATATATCAAAAGAGAAAGAGAAGTCTTTTAATAATGAAGTATCCTCCCAGAGGTTGATTTCAGGTTAGTCTGAGGTATCTATTAAAACCTCCTAGTTCGACAGCCTGAAAACCAGTGGAGGGCTGCTATGAGTTGGAATCTGTTCAAGAGCAGTGGGCAGTTGTGGTAGACTGACTCAACCAGAACCATGGATACAGAAAGAAAACACCAACTCTCCTGGGGAGGAATCTAGATTATTGAATAACTTCACAGGAAATCTGTCTTCCAGCACCTCTTACCAGGAGGGCGCTACTACCTACCTGATTTTAATCAAAGCCTTTGAAAGGTACAGACAGACTATGTTGTTGAGGGAACTTAGCAGAAAATCATTTGATGGAAATGGTATTTTCTTAAGAAGATTTCAGAATTTTTTTTTAAAGGCAAGAACAAAAGAAACTAAATAGAAACACCCAAACTCAACACTGCAGAAAGAAACAATATTTTATATTTTCATATGTGGAAATGATCCTATCCACATTTATTTCTCTAAATATATTTTACAGCAATGGAGCTGGATGGTAACATTCTTGGCGATACAGTAATGGAAAAGCAGTTTTTGCAGATAATCTACAAACCCCATAGTGTTCAAAGCTATTCATTTACTAGCAAAGAGACCCAGACTTGTCTCCGCTGGAATTATTTTCTATGTTCCACGTCTCAGCAGAGGCGTGGCAGCTAAAGCTTCACAGACTCTTTCCTGGTGGAGCATTTCTGCATATTAAACAGCAGCTTACAAACAGTCAATGAGTTCTCTGCTCCCACGCCTGATCAGCACAAAAAACTGAAAGGCGAGATTCTAGACTGGCAGTTGTCCTCACTAGAGACATTCAACGATGTGTTTTCTGTCTATTCATTCACAGTATTGACATGAGCCATTAACATCTGCAGAACTTGTTTTAGCTGGCAGAAGTTGGGTATCTGGGAATTGATTTAAAAGGTCAACTCGTTTCCAAGACTGTTGAATTATATTCAAACTACATTGCTATAAAGTGCTAAAAAAAAAGAACTTAAAAAATGGGATTTCCAGTCAAGTTTAGCGCGTACTTCCTTTGTAAAGTGTAAAGAATTTGATCAGTGTTAAATATCTCTTGAAGAGGCTTTACGTACCAAGCCAAGGGAAATTTAAAGCTTGCTAACCACAAATCACACATTTCTGGGTTTGAAAGAGAACAGAGATTTAGTTCTTTTATTTGAGTTTAACTTATCTCTCTTTTCCCCCATTGCTACTGATATTTTATCCCCTTCATTGCTGCCAGATAAGTTAGATTCTAAAAATGGCATGTTAAAGAATTCTTATTTTACAAAACAGATACTTGCAAGCAGATACTTTGTTTGTAGCATCTCTAAAAGTCTATAGCGAGAAACTATATATATTAACATTCATTTTAATGCCAATGTTTTGGGATGAGACCAACATATAATTAGGAAAACTGGCAATACAGAGAAAATTTGGAATCAGAAATAGCAATTTCAGAAAAATATAATTTATATGAATGTTAAGAGGAAAGAAATAAGCATTTTTTAAAAAAAAATTCACACAACCTATTTCAGAAATGTATTTTGCTTCAACACACAAACTAGCCCATCAACGTTAATATAATGTAATGAACAATGAATACATTAATGATTTTTTCTGTGTTTGCTCCCAACTATTATTTTACCTAATGAGTTGTAACCTAATTATAGAGTTTCAGTACCAAAGAAATGAAACTTCATGTAAGGGCACTCTGGTAGCTCTGTGGTAAAGAATTGCATTGCCAGTGCAAAAGTATGCAGTTCAACCCAGCAGCTGCTCCACAGGAGAAAAATGGGAAATCTCCTTGCATGTGATTTATTCCTTTTGTGAACTTGCTGGAGGGTCAGCTATGGGTAAATTCTGACTTGATGGTACAGAACAACAACATATTTCAAAAGTAAGTAATAGCCAAATTCATAATAACTATGCTTGGTGTTCTTGGAACTGGACAATGGATGACAGAAGAACTGATGACTTTGAACTGTGGTGTTGGAGAAAAATACTGCCTATCTCGTGGATTGACAAAAAAACAGACAGACAGGTCTTGGAGACGGTGCAGCCAGGGTTCTCCTTGGAGGCAAGGAGGATGATGCTTCGTCTCACAGATTTTGGGCCTGTTATTAGGAAAGGCTATTGCCTGGAGAGGGACATTATGCTCAGGAAGGTGGAGGAGAGGAAGATCTTCAAGCAGGTGGACTGACACAGTGACTGCAGCAATGGGTTTCAGTCTGTCAGAGATTGTGAGTATGGCACAGGGTAGAATATGGTTCAGACCTATTTTTCAAAGGGTCAAAAATGAGTTGTACTTGACCCGATGGAATCTGACACTAAAAGCATGCTTGGTGAGCAGTTCAACATGGAGAAGGATTTCTTTATAA